GGCTCACAGCTTCAAAAACAGTACAGGTACGATGTTGAGGAGTACTACAATAGCATGAGACAATAATTTCAGCTTTGCTTAAAATGGGGTTCACAAACTCACAGTCAAGGAATGCAGTGTTCTGGTGATAATTTGTGTTCAAATGAAACAAACTATTTTACGTTTCATTTTGAACACCGAGTATTACTTCAAGTCCGCTTTTAAACTGGCATTATCTGAATCTATAGCACATCAAAATGGGAACTACTTGAAGTAATCTGAGAGTGTAGGACTGCTAGAGACCCTAATTCTGGCCTTTCTCCACCCCCAAGTCTGGGCCTCAGTGTTATGGTCTATAAAGTTACATTAAGAAGAAAAGAAAAAGGGTGCTTTTCTCGCTCAGTCCCTAGAGCACACTACTCAATCTCTGGAATCTAGTTGCATGTAGAGATTACTTAAAAAAATAAAATCTTGAAAAAAAAACAAAGAAAAGAAAAAGAAAAAAAAAAGATTTCTCATGAACACCAGTGAGTGGCTCTTCTTCACTTCAGTTTGGCATTCCAGCAAATGTCTCATTTATTGAGAAATCTGTGACCCACTTGTTGCCTCCAGGTTAGTTTTCTTCTTTCCCTGAACCCATATTCACTTTGTGTGTGTGTGTGTGAGTGTATGTGTTTACTCTTCTCATGAGAGTCCTTATAGCACACCCACAGACATTTGGGCAGTATCACAAGGAAACAAAATTTCAACAGCTCTTATGGGCGGAAAAGGCCGGAAGACCAGTTCCCCACCAACCCGCCCCTTCCCGCGTAGGGTGTAGGGCAAGAGCTACGTCACCAGCACCCTACCCCGCACCCCCGGAAGCGCGCCGGGCACTGGAGTGAGCGTTGACCCGCGTGCGCAGTGCGGGTAGCCGGAAACTATCCAAACCAGACCCAGCCGCCGGATGGGCAGCTGAGGGGATCCTGCCCCCGCGGCGTCAGGCCTGACGGGGTAGGGAAAGAGGCAAGTAGCAAGATTGTTTACTGTAGCCATCGCATGGGGCTGTAGAGGTAGGTGTTTACTTTTCTGAGGAGCATCCTTTGAAAGCCTTAAATGGCGACGCTGTCTAACTGGAGCGCCATTACCTCTGAATAGGAAGAGTCCTACCTGGACTGCCGGGACAGAGGGGGCAGGGTGACCACGCAGCCACCTGGTCCCTCCAGACTCAGGTGGTGAGGCTGCTTTGGCCTTGAATCTCAGTTCCGAACCCCACATTACGCGGTTAGAGGTCCTGATAGACTGGTGGCAGACCTTTGGGTGAGGACAGCGCAGGGAAACTGTCCTGTGGAAAACAAGAGAGAAGAAGGGTGGGCGGGATGGTTAGATTGGCCAACTAACAACTCTTTGGGACTCCGCTGTAGATTGGATGATGGCTCTCTGAGGTAAAAGTCTCCGGAGACTCCTTCACAGGAACAGTGTGAGTCAGAGCTAGGACAAAAATAGGGGGCAGGGGTAAGAGTTCAGAAAAGGCTGACTTCAGCTCAAACATGAGGGAAACTTCCCATGGAATTTTAGCCGTTGGCAGGCTCAAGTTGTTGCCTCATCAAGTTCTGCGCCATTTCTGTGGTAGCTATTCTAACCGTCGAATTCCAATGTTTTGGTTAGGTATCACCTGTTTTTTTTTTTTTTTTTAATTACCTGAGTCAGTGATTCATTCTCTATAGTAGTAATATAGTAATCTATGTCGATATTATTTTATATTATTCTCTTATGGAAAAAGAAATCCACCGTGCTCAGAACCACTGATGATTTAATTTAGAATCTTCTTAACACTTTATTGTCTAGAAAATGGATAATAGGACTTCTGTGGTTGTGCGTTTTAAATACATTAGGCTTAATTAAAATGCTAACAATTAGCGACCATTTAACGTCTAGTTTATCACCTTACAAAAGCGATAGACCCAAGCCTTTCACATAAAGAAATGGAATTGGAAAAAAAAAAAAAATTTTAAAGCTAGTCAACGTTCGTAAGAATAGACACTGAAGTCTTGAGGAAGGAAATTTTTCACTATCCTAGATCATTAATATTTACTTATTTTTTAGTGTTTGTTTTGGCAGTTTTGTTTTCCCCCTTTCCTTTGGGGGGGGCTCTTTTAAAGCCGAGATGGAACTGCATAAACAGCTATATGGAATTATAAGAGGAGAAAATGGGCAGTAGTCCTCTGAACTGAAATTAGGAAGAAAGCAATGGAAACTGGAAAGACCAAACTGAGAGAAAAGAAAAAAAAGAAGTCATTTAGGTAGATTCCAGAAGTAATGTATATGTTAAATACAAAAAAAAAAAAATAGGGAAACCATTGCACATCATAAACTCCTTTCCTCGAAATTAAAGGACTTTAGGTGATGTTGTACAATTATATAAAGCACAACTACATCTTTTAATCAATGAAATTTCCTCTGCCTGGCACATAGTAAGCACATTATTATTGAATGTGTTTGAGTGAAATTTTTACCTATTTATCTTAACACTCTGCTGAATGTGAGAACTTCATATGCATTTCTGTCTTACTAAATTTATTTTTATTTTTTCAGAATAACTGAACCCCATTGGAGATTTAGTTCACCAGTGGAGGCTTCCTAAATCTCCTTTCCTTTATCCACCTCCCCCACTCTGTACAGCCTCACCTACCCTCATAACTCAGGTGAAGGGGAAATCAGAGAAGCACCAGCAACTTTCTGGTGTTGGTAGGCTCATTGCTGATTTCATAGTGCATTTCAGGACTACAGATAATCTGACAGTAAGCATCAGGATTCTTTTGGATCTTCCTATTCCCCTAGCAACCCTCATTTTCAGTCCGAGATTGTCCACCAAGTATGTAACCCTAATGCTTGGTTAGAGGTTCTAAAACTGTGTTGTCTAATGTGGTAACCACATGTGGCTACTTAAATTTCAGTCAATTAAAATTAAAGTAAAGAATTGTGTTTTCATATGGACTCTGAAAAACAATCTGAGGGTTTTGAAGGGGTGGGGGGTGGGAGGTTGGGGGATCCAGGTGGTGGGTATTGGAGAGGGCAGGGATTGCATGGAGCACTGGGTGTGGTGCAAAAATAATGAATACTGTTATGCTGAAAAAATAAAAAAATTAAAAAAAAGGAAAAAATAAATAAAAAAATTTCAACATAAAAAAATAAAAATGAAAAAAAAAAGAATTGTGTTTTCAAGTCTCACTAGTCACAGTTTTCATGCTTAATAGCCATATGTGGCTAGTAGCTACTGTACTGAATAGTGCAGATGTATAATATTCCAATATTACAGAAAGTTCTTTTGAACAGTGCTGCTCTAGAAAGCAACCTTTGTCATTTCTGCAGTTTAAAAGATACTCAGTTTCAAACTCAGTTTTCTTGCAGGGCAAGATAAAGGTAAACACAAATATGCTGTAGTAGTTCAAAAAGTGGCTGTGAAAGGCAGGGCCTAAATGCATTGGTTGAGTGAAGTAAGACATGGCAGCACCACTCATCTAATTTGGTCATACTTATTTAGGTTGGGAAAATGCTACCCATTTTTAAGGTTTTTTTTTTTGTTGTTTTTTGTTTTGTTTTTAGAAAAGGATTTAGCTGTGATTGTAGACCTTTTGTTTAATGTGACCTTCAATAATTTACATTTGTAAAACATTTCTATATACAAGGTCATAAAATTTAGTTTAAAGATGGTAAATGGAAGGAGAGAACAGTTGATTCTAATAGCATTACCACAATTACACAATACTAGTTAAATTGTCATTAATGTGTCCTTTGTATCTTGGTTTCAAGAGCTGAGTAATACAGATAGTAAAACTGTAAGCTTAACAAATTGGTGTTTGAAAACAAGCAGGATTCATAATGATTCACATTTCCATGGTGAATGTTTTACTTTTAAAAAAGAAAAGATTTATTTATTTCAGATAGAGAGGGAGAGTGAATGTGGGCCTGGGGAGGGTTAGAGAGAGAGAAAGAATCTCAAGTAGGCTCCCTACTAAGCATGGGGCCCTAAGCTGGTCTAGATCCCAGGACACTGAGATCATAACCTGAGCCAAAACCAGGAGTCTGACACTTAATTGATTGTACTACCCAGGCACCCCAGTTTCACATTTTAAAAAGCATTCTCCTTCCTATTTATTTATTTATTTTTCTTTTTTTGAGTCTCAGAAGACACTCCTTATGTAGGTAAGGAAGATGTTATTTTTCTCTCAACGTTCTTTCCTGTATAGTCTTTGCCTTGACTCAGATGCTACCTGCTGCATGAAGCTGTCTCTTTTCCTTGCAGTTGAACAAACTCCTTAGCACTTTTTCTGTATAGTAATTGTCTCAAGCTAATTAATGATGCTGCTCATGTGCTTTTGACCCTTCTTAATAGATTCACAATTCTTTTTGGACAAAAGTTGAGTCAGGCTTATTTATTTATTTATTTTTGCCCTTTAAATTTTATCTCATGTAAAATTTACATGTAATGTAACAAAATGTAACAAAATCAACCATTTTAAAGTCTGCAATTAAAGAGTATTTAATATATTCACTATGTTGTACAACCATCACTTAATTATTTAGTTCCAAAACATTTTCATCACCCCAAAAGGGAGACCTGTGTCCATTAAACAGTCACTCTTCCCTACTCCCCCCAGCTCCTGGCAACCACTAATCTTTGGTTGCCAGTATAGGATTTACCTATACTGAATTTTTCAACTAAATAGAATCTGACAATATGCAACCTTATGTGTCGGGCTTCATTTGCCTAGCATAATGTTTTCAGTGTTCATCCACTTTGTAATGTATCAGTATTTCATTCAGATTTATAGTTGAGTTTTTGTATTTACTAAAGGGATGTACAATACATATTAATTATTTAATTATTTTATCCCAAACTCCCACACCTGATAGCATATGCTAATATAATGCAGTCTGTATGAATAGATAATACCTAAACCTAATTGAGTTCTGTTATTTTATTCTTAGCTACTCGGATTATCTAAACTTTAAACATTAAACGCCAAAAGATATTCTCTATGTATCCATTCCAAGACATGGTACAATCTTTTCATCTTCCTCAACAAGGACCTACTGTGACATCCTCTCCTACCGAAGTTCGTGCGTGGATAGAAGGTAAGATGTTTTGAAACTTCGTAGCTCTGCACATCACATTTCATCTTTTACAGGCTCAGCTGACCAGATTTCACAGAATATTAGTGCATAAAAACCATATATTATTTTGCACTCTTTTATGGAACATGTTTCAATATTAATGATTTGAACCTGAAGTCTGTAACTCTAAGGTCCTAACATCGTGTTTTAATAAACACATTCCAAGAATAATTTCCTTGTCTTGATTAATGTATTTTTGTATGAATATTAGAATTAATATAGTATTCTTGATTAACATATTAGTGTGTGATTTTCTTATTAATAGAAGTAATATGTGAATATTGGAAACAACCACATACTCTAAAATAATGACATTAGATAAACAGTAAAACAGTAAAAACAGATATGATTTGCATTCTTCTATTGGAAAGAGCCATTTCTGACTGAAGAGAATTGATTGTGTAAAGGAATAGATGCAATGAAAGGAGGAGTTAAATGCAATTAAGTTAAATAATTTTATTATTAATTATAATTTATTACATTTAATATATAGTTTACCTTTGAGAGCACATGCTTTTCCTGCCTCCATCACTTAGTGTTTACATAAATACATACTAAGAAATAGTATGTTAAATGATTTAAAAGGGAGGAAAAATCCAAAGTCTTCTTTATGATCAGCTGTCTTTATTAGGATCATACCAATGAGCACTTTAAGAAAGATTGGCAGTGCTTACCATTTTTTAATTATAGAAACTCTTTTAAAGATGATTAATTACTATGAAGCTTTGGTCTATTTGCAATGTTTTCTTTATGTAAAGCTGGTTTAGTATATTCCTTTGTGTTAAGTGTAGTAGATTAGGTACTACATAGATGAAAATAATATATTATCATTACAGATTTATAGTATCTTTTTGAAATTTTAATTCCTCATCCATAAATTTCAGTTCAGTAAGATTTTCCTCCCAATAAATTGAGTACATAGAGTTATTTATCACAATATATGTGAGTTTATTATAAAAATAATTTCAATTGTGTCAATAAAATTATTTTAATGGAGAGGAATTTCAAATCAATAAACTTCAAGTTTTCTTGGTTCACACTTTAATCATACATTTTATAATTTTTAATAGCTGAAAACTTAAACATTTTAACATCACCCTACTCACTAGTTTAAGGAATAAAATATTGGTTCCTGCTTTTGAAAAAAAATTCCAAGTTTTCTCAGCTGCATTCCTACTTTTTTTCTTAGTGATTCCTTTTAAATTTCAGAACTTGCATTTGCAAACTACTGGGAATAATACTAATGCAAGAAGAAATGTCTTCTTCCCCCTGTGTTTCCATAATATTTCCTTTGTATTTCAAAACACTTCATGCCTATCACTGTGTTTGTGTGTAGGGGGTAGTTATCTTCTTCCTATCAAATTGCAAATAGTTTGAAGGCAAAATGCAATATTCTACTTTTCTGTGTATCTCTGACAACATTCAGCACCATACTTTGCAAAGACCAGGTGTTTAGCAAATATTTTTGTTATTATTGACAAAATAATGACTTTGAATATTTCACTTCTCAATTTTTCCTATAAAATTGGCCTAATGCCCAGAAACTTTCATGTTGCCATTCTTAGCTAACTTTTGTTTGGTGATATTGGAATATTCTTATAACAGTAATTGTAAAAGAAAGTAATTTCAAGTAAACAGGCAATGAATTCTAGGCACCAGACTTTAATGTCTTATTGGTATCCTAGCTTGGATTTCTTCTTTGATTAGTGATAAGTTACAACACTATTAAAGAGGTAAATGGTTTCTGTTATATGAACAGAAAACAAAAGATGATTATAACAATTTGACTTACTGGAGACCTTTTTACATAGTTAATTTAGAGGGAAAACCTAGAGCAGGCTAGCACTATTAAAACTGAAAATGCGAACCCAAAACAAAACACAAAAATGTTAGAATGCCAGAGGGTTTTTCAGGGAGCTGAATTTTATTTATTATAGCATATCCAAGATATTATCATGTGTAAACACGTTACTTTAAGAGTATTGGTCATATTGCCCTATTGAAGTTTGGGTGCAGTTTGAGACTCAAAATATAGTTTAGAGGAATAAACTGCTACTGAGACTGCCAGTGATTTTTAAAAAAATCATTATTTAGTTTTTAATTTTTCTTAATTTTTTAATTTTTTATTAACATGGAATGTATTATTAGCCCCAGGGGTACAGTTCTGTGAATCGCCAGGTTTACACACTTCACAGCACTCACCATAGCATGCTATTGTCTTTAATTTTTATTTGTGTTTGTTTGTATGAGCCATGTTGATAGATTGTGTTCCCATGTTGCATTTCTAGTCCAGTTCCAGTGTTGTGTTTTCCAAAAACTCTCAGGTTCTCAGAATTCCCACAGAAACTCCTTTTGGTGTGGATTGAATTGCAGAATCACTTAGCATAATACACTCTAGCTCCATCCACATTGTTGCAAATGGCAGGATTTTGTTGTTTTGGATGCCTGAGTTATATTCCATGTGATTGATATATATCTAGATATATATATATCTAGATATATATCTAGATATATATATATCTAGATATATATATATATCTAGATATATATAGAATAGATATATATATTCTATATATATCTATATATAGAATGGATAAGGATGTGATATATATATTTAATCTTATTTTTATTGAGGTATAATCACATATAACATATTAGTATGTGTGTATATATTTATATTTATATATATGTGTATATATATTTGTATATATATTTAATCTTATTTTTATTGAGGTATAATCACATATAACATATTAGTATGTGTGTATATATTTAAATTCCAATATAGCTAACAAAGTGTTACATTAGTTTCAGTTGTACAATATAGTAATTCAACCATTCCAGACATCACCTGTTGCTCATCATGACAAGTGCCTTCCTTAATCCCCATCACCTATTTAACCCATACCCCTATCCACCTCCCCTCTGGTAACTAGCAGTTTGTTCTCTGTAGTGAAGGATCTGTTCCTTGGTTTGCTTCTCTCTCTTTTTCTTATGTCCTTTGCTCATTTGTTTTGTTTCTTAAAATCCACATATGAGTGAAATCATATGGTATTTGTCTTTTTCTCACTTATTTCACTTAGCATTATGTTCTCTAGCTACATCCATGTTGTTGCAAATGGCAAGATTTTATTCTTTTTTTGGCTGAATAATATAATATCATCCATCCATCCATCCATCCATCTATCTTATTTCTTCATTCTTTCGTGAGTGTATGGACATTTGAGCTGTTTCCATAATTTGGCTATTGTTGATAATGCTACTATAAACATTGGGGTGCATGTATCCCTTTGAATTAGTGTTTTGTATTTTTTGAGTAAATACCCAGTATTACAATTACTGGATTTTAGGGTAGTTCTATTTTTAACGTTTTGAGGAACCTCCATACTCTATCCCACTGGTGGCTCTACCAGTTGGCATTCCCACCAACAGTGCAAGAAGGCTCCTTTTTCTCTACATCCTTGCCAACACTTGCTATATCTTGTGTTGTTGATTTTAGCCATTCTGACTGGTTGGTGTGAGGTTATATCTTGTATTTTTGATTTGTATTTCCCTCATGTTGAGTGATGTTGAGCATCTTTTAATGTGTCTATTAGCAACATTTTTATAGATGTATCTCCTGAGACAAGAGAAATAAAAGCAAAAATAAACTATTGGGGCTACATCAGAATAAAAGTCTTCGTACAGTGAGGGAAGCCATCAACAAAATGAAAAGGGAACCTTCTGAATGCGAGAATATATTTGTAAATGGCATATTCAATAAAATGTTAGTATCTAAAATATATGATTTGTTTTTAAGTAAAGGATTTTTCCTTAATTTTAGTACAGAATAGAAAGTGTGATTTAAATTTGGCAGTTGGAACATCTTGAATCTATTAAAAGAATGTAAGCTGAATTTGGAGCCCTGACTTCTAGGCTTGAATTTATCATTAAACTCCATTGTGACCATAGACGAGGACTTTGGCCATTAGGATTTCTAAAGTTTTCTTTATTTTTTTTTAATTGGTTTCCTTCTTAGTATCTTTCTTTCCTTCTTTCTGTTTCTTCCCTTCTTTCTTTCATCTTTTTTTTCTTTTCTTCTCAATTTAGCAATACAGTTATGTATGTCTGAGAGGTTTGTTGCAGTGGAAAGTAAAAATCGGGGCACCTGGGTGGCTTAGTTGGTTAAGGGTCTGCCTTCAGCTCAGGTCACAATCCCAGGGTCCTGGGGTTGAGCCCCAGTTTGTCAGACTACCTTCTCAACAGGGAGCCCATCTCCTTCCGCTTGCTGTTCCCCCACTTGTGCTCTTTCTCTCTTTCTTTCTCTTTCTCTTTCTCTAATACATAAATAAAATCTTTAAAAAATTAATAATAACAAATATTTGGGGATGGTAAAGGACAAAATAAATGTGAAATGTATTTTATCATTGTTCTTATTTTTATCCCACTATCAGTTCAACTATTGTTACTAAAATGCTAGTGTCTACACTGTCAGAAGCACCAACATATCATTACTATTTATCGGATTTCTTGGATCTTTACAGGTTTAGAGGATTATTAGCTCTATGTATATATGGATTTTAATAACATAAAACAGGTATATCTTAAATTAGAAAGCATCAATTAGTGGATAATTTTCATTAAGAAAATATTTGTTTGTGAGAAAAGATTAAGTTAGAGAACTTGCAAAATTAGTAAATTAAGAAAGATCATAATAATGGGAACCTAAGGTCCTCTTCCTTCACTGCTGATGTACACTGATACTGTCAAAATCATAAGGTATGCAAGGTATATTTGATAAGGGAAATCATTCTGCTTTAGTGACTATGACAATATTGAATTTATCATTCTGGAAAAGACTTGTGAATGAGCAGAAAGGCTTCATATTAAAAATAAATAAGAATGGTAGGTATCAAAACATCAGGATAGACAGGCAGGGATACTCACCACTGTACTAATGAGGACAGCAAAACATCAGGAAA